ACCTACAGGCAGGCTGGGGGGTTAGGTGGGGGCGGGGTCCCAGTCTCTCTTTCCCGTGCCCCCAGGCGGGCAGTGGGGAACAAGCCCCTTCTCTGGGAAGGAAGGAACCCCGGGAGGTGGCGAAAGCACCCCCAAGCCAGAGGTGATATGGAGCTAAGGCAGGGGGTGTCCTCAGTGAAAGCCGGCAGGGCTGCTGGTCCACCCACCCGCAGGCGAGGCCAGCCTCCGTCAGGCTTTGTAGTTTGGCTAGAGCAAGTGGCAGAACCTAGAAACGTCACCATGCTCAGAGGCAAAAAGAGTAATGGGCGAGGAAGAAGAACAAAAGGGGGTGATGGGGGCAGCGGAGGTGGGGGCTGGAGTGATGGCATAGTGGGTTTGCCTTGCAGGCGGCCGACACGGATTCGATTCCCAGCATCCCACAGTGTCCCCAGAGCACCGCCAGGAGTAATTCCTGAGTGCAGAGCCAGGAGGAACCCCTGTGCATGGCCGGGTGTGACCCAAAAAGCAAAAAAAAAAGGAGAGGTGGGTGACGGCCTGTCCCTGTGAACGTCTGAGGGGCACAGTCACAGCTGCAGACTTCGGAGGCCTCTCTCTTCCTATTAAGAGATGACACTGCTGGATGAGCACAAGATTAGGGGGCACTTAAGAGGTATTTTATTTGGGGCTTGGGGGGTGCAGAGCAATAATTGTACAGCATGCAGGGCACTTGCCTTGTGTGCGGCCAACCTGGGTCTGAGCCCACCAGGAGTGATCCCTGAGTGCAGGGCCAGGAGTCAGCCCTGAGCACTGCCAGGTGTGCCCCCCTCCAAAAAAAAAATGAGAAAAAAAAAGAAAAAAAATTTGAGCCCAAACCTAGTAGTGCTCAGGATTTACTTCTGGCTCAATGCTCGCAGATCACTCCTGGCTCAGTGCTCAGAGGACCATATGAGGTGCCAGGGACTGAACCAGGGGAGGCCCAGAGCAAGGAAAGTGCCTTAACCTTGTATTATCTCCCCGGCCTGGGTTTTGGATATTTTTTAAAGGTTTGCTTTGGTTTCCTGGCTCTGTGTTTTGAAGTGCAGGGGATCAAACCTAGGGCCCTGCAGGCAAAGCCTAGGCTCATGGAATGATCTCAGGCCCCTGCACTTGTTTTACACACACACACACACACACACACACACACACACACACACTTACAGAGCTTTGCGGGCTAACTCTTTAGCCGTTTCTAATCAAGTGAACGGGCTGTGGGCCAGCACTGATCTTGCTAGAGAAATGAAAATATAGGGCCCGGTCCAAGTGTTCTGAGAAGCTTCCCTTGCAACAGCCCTAAGCTGGAACGCGCCCAAATGTCCATCGACTAGAGGACAGCGTGAGTCCATCTGTGTAATGGCCAGCTACTGGGCAGTGAGTGGAACGAGCTCCTGGGACATTCCATAGCACTGGAGCATCTCAGAGAAGGCGGGCGGAGGGGCGGGGGGTGGAGCTTGGTGGGGGAGTGCCCGTGTGGGCTGGGGTGCCACCCCCGGGAGCCCCCCACCCCCCCGAACAACATCAAGAAAGAAGGTCAGGAGACAAACAACCGTTTCTGTACCCGGTCCGTCCGTACTGAGTTCTAGGCGTCACAACAGAGATTCGGGGTGACGGAAACCAGAAGAGGTAGCTTCAGGGTGATGAATGGCCACTTGCGGGGGACCAGGGGGGGAGGGCGGGGTGGGGGGGAAGGGCTCGGAAATATTCTCTTTCTGGACCCAAGTGGTGTTTGCACAGGTGTAGAGATTCACCAAAACTCACCAAACCCTAACGAAATCTTTGCATTCTGCTACATGTAAATCACACCTGAATTTCAAAATAATGTTTTGGTTTCCACCTGCACCAGCCCCCCCCCCCGGCTCCCCCTTCCTCCAAGTCCCATGAGAGAAGTCAAAAGCAAAAAGCTCGCTCTAAAGACGCCAGGGTGGGGAGGCCGAGGGGGAGGAGGCCAGGAGGTTAATGGCCTGTGTACCTGTTAAACTGTGTTCAGGCCTTCAGCCATGTGTGCAGAGCCAGAGGCCGGGGCAGTGGCTTGGAAAACGCTCTGGCCCTCGACAGCAGGGGTTCGGCACCCTCCGGGGTCCTGGCGCCCGGCCCAGCCGCTCACTCACCACCAGGGGACCCCGGGGCATCACCTCTTCCCCAGCCCGATGGAATGTTCTCTTGAGCCCACTGGTCTCCGTGGGGAGCCCCTGGCCACTGGCCTCCCCTCCTGTCCGTGGCCCCTGGGATGATGCACCAGCAGAGAGGCTGAGAGGCGCACAGTCCACACACACACACACACACACACTCGGCATCTCGGGTGGCTGTGCCCCCTGCCCGTCGGGCTTCACCCCCGAGCACCCCCACCCCAAAGCCCCCGCGGCTGCAGCTGACGCCACCCACTCCATTTCCCTGTCCCTCTATGCCACGGACTCACGCAATCCGATGCTGGACCCAAACTCCGGGACCGGCCACACACGCCTCCCGGATCCCCTGAGTTCAAAGCCACATCAGGCCAAGACGGGCGAGACAACGGGGCGGGGGGGAGGTTCAGGGGGGGCACTGCAGCCCCCAAACGCACACGGTGCTTGCTGAGGACGTCCCAGGAGGTCGGGGTCTCGCCCAGTCCTAACTCCTGGCCCCAGCCCACCCTGCGTGGCACCCCGGCATCACCCTGGACCGTCGGTGGTTTCTCTCCGGGCTCTGCTCTGCGTAGAGGAATGCGCTCAATGACTCACAAGTGTCCGAGCATTCCACAATCGCTGGGGAGTCCCGCTGAGCCACACGGCACCTCAGGCAGCGCCTCCGAGTCCGGACACGGGCCCCTCTCTCAAGCCTCGCATTGGAGCTTGCCCGGGACCAGGCCTCAGGCCAACCCCCACCCCCTGCCCAGGGAGATCAGAGCCCAGAGCTCTGTGGTCCCAAGACGCCCAGCGGGCTCCGCGGGCAGACAGGCTCCGGCAGCCCCATCGGCTCCTGTCCTGAATGGGCAGTTTCCTCTGCGAGAGTCTCGGTTTGCTCATCTGTGAGATGGGTACCACCCCACAGGGTTTCCTGAGCAGCACAGCTGAGACCTCATCACTCACTGCAGGAGGAGGGGTGAGGCGGCAAACCGAGGCAGGGAGAAGGGGGCCCGGACCGGCACAAGGGAACCCCCACGGGACGAGAAGGCGGGAGTCTGCCGGGGCGCCACACACCCCGTCCCCCCGGGCAGCTCTCGGGCTGAGCCGGCCTTTGCGGCTCATCTCCCCACAATCCCCTCAAGGGCGCGGGGCGGCCGGTGCTGGCACCCTTGCCGCCCAGACTGCCAGGCAGAAGTTCAAAGAGGCCGCGGGGAAAGGCCAAGGTCACCTACGCCGAAGACAGAGGCCCAGTGCTCGAACTCAGTTCCCCAGGGACAAAGTCCCTCTCCGGTTCCTGCTCGGCCCAGAACTCGGCAGCCCCGCCCATTTCACAGAGGGGGAAACTGAGGCCCCCGCCGGGTGGTCAAAGGTCAACCGAGGGCGTGGACCAGACCTTCAGCCATTCCTCCGGGGTCAGCCCACAGCGGGTCCCCGGCCAGGGCGCCCCGAACCCCCCTCCCTCCCGCACGGCCCCCCTCCACCCCCACACCTCCACACACCACCCCACACTCGGGAGAGGGAGGCAGCCGGTTGCTAAGCGCTCACCCCGTCTCTCTCATAAAAATAAACTCCTTCTGGCTGGGAGGCTCTGGATGAGATCCCTCCCTTCCAGCCAAGAAAAAAAAAATTTTTTAAAGAAATTTTAAAAAGATCTCCATGACATTTATTTGAACGTCAGCGGTGCCAAGGCGTGGGCCAATTTACCGGAGTCCAAATGGTGCCACGCGCCGCGGCAAAACCTCAGCTCCGAGACCCCCGCTCTGGCATCTGGGTGGTTTCGGGCTGATTTATTTCCCCGGGCAGGAAATGGGGGCCCGGGCTCCGTCCCAGGCCTTTGGCGTGGTCCTGGGGGAGGCCAAGGTCTGGCAGAGGCCAGGCGGGACCAAAATAGCCAGTCGGGTGGCCCTGCCCAGCACACACCCCCTCGGGCTCTCCGGACGGCAGGGAGCCCCCCCCACCCTGGCCCTCTCCGCTGCAGGGGGGCATCTGGAGGGGACCCTGGTGTCGGCTTTCCCCCATGGGGCCGGCAGAGCACCCGCTGCCTGAAAGAGGAACCCCCAGAAGGAAGAGGAAAAGTCTAGAGGGGCCAGGGCCTGCTCCCCCTGCCCACTGCCCCCGCAGGGGGACTGCGTCTCGGAATGACTGAGCCTCGGCATGGCCACCTGCCCACCGCACTGGGGGTCCCCCAGGATCGCAGGTGACCCAAGTACCTCTTCCCCACTCCCCAGTCCGGCCCTCCTGTCCCCGGGGCACCAGGGACACTCCCTTGGGCCCAGCCGAGGACACTCAAGTTCCCCGGCCAGGGACACAGCCACACGCGGGGGTGGGGGGGGCGCACACGTGCACGGCCAGGTACCGGGAGACACCCCGTGTCATGCCCAGGCGCGCGCGCAGACACACAGACGCACAGACACACAGACACACACACCAGCCACGCTCAGGCATCAACCCCTGGAACAGAGAAAGGCTGGCGGCTTGGGGAGGGGCGCGCAGTGCAGACCCCCTCCAGCCACCCCGACGCATGCAGACACAGGGAGGCTGAGCGGCGGCCAGGCGCGCGCAAAGACACACACACACACACACACACACACACAGACAGACACACGCGTGCACACACGCGGGCACATACACACACACACGCGGGCACACACACACAAACGCGCGCGCACACACACACACACACACACACACCTGCCGCCTGCACGAGACGCCCGAGCCCCTGCGCCCGGGAAACAATAACCGCCCGGCCGGGGACCGAGCGGGCGACCCCGCGACCCTCCGGGCGGCGCAACGGGGGCGCCCGGCGGCGCGGGGGGCGCGGGGGGCGCGCGGGGCGGCGGGGGCGCGGGGCGCGGGGCGCGGGGCCGGGCCGGCCCTCGGTACCTGGGCTGCGCGCGGGGCGCGCGGCGGCGCCGGGGTCCTGGGGCCGGGGGCGGCGCGCCGGCGGGGTCGCGGGCCCGCGGGGCCGGCGCGGCGGGGCGCGGGGCGGGCGGCCGTCGGGGCCGGGCGCGGGCGGGACGGCGCGGCGGCGGCCGGGGCGCGGGGCTCGGCGCTGGCGGCGGCGCGGAGGAAGCGGTAATTTATAAGCGGCTTCTTCCTGACCTCGCGTGTCTGTTGTCTGAGCAGGGAGCGCTCAGCATCACCCATCCTGCTGGGTGGAAAAATACCAGCTTGGCCGGGCCGGGGGCGGGGCCGGGGCGGGGCCGGGGCGCGCAGCCCCGCCCCGCATGCGGACACACGCGCGCGCACAGACACACACGCACACACACGCGCGCACACACGCGCACACACGCGCGCACGCACGCGCGCACGGGCTCGGACACACAAAGGACCGGGGCGCGCCGGGCGCGCGCACACGCGCCCTCCTGCCTCGCCGGGCGCCGGGCGCGCGGCTTCCCCGTCCGGGGCGCGCGGCTCGGGCGAGCCCGTGGCCTCCTCGGCGCGCCGTGCCCAGACGTGCCCCGGGCCTCGGAGCCGGCGGAAGCCCCCTCCCCGCCCGCCGCCGCCCCCCGCGCCCCTGCACCTGGGCCCTGCCCGCCCGCCGAGGCGCGTCCGTCCGGCGGCCGCCCGGCTCCCCGGGCCTCGGTCCGCCCTCTCCCCGCCTCTCCCGAGGGTGACCCGAGCGAGATGCTGATAAGGGGCGGACCAACGGCCACCAGGAGCCTTGATTTGGGCCCGCCGCGCGACCTTGGCTCTCCGTGCCTCGGTTTCCTCGTCTGTAAGGTGACAATCACGAGAGGCGCACTTGCCCCTCGGGCTGCGAGAGGCGCCAAGGTGCCCCGCGGGCGAGCTCGAGCTCCACGCGCGCCCTTCCTTGCACTCCGGGGAGTGGCAGGCGAGTGTTAGCTCCTGCGACTATTTTTAAATGAAAATGGAGAATGTGCCATTCTTCTTGTCCTTATTTGCATGCGCGGGTCCTGGGAGGCCGGTTTCCACTCGCGTGCACGCCGGGGCTGAGGGTGGGGGCTCCAGCCCGGCCCCGCCGGCCTCCTCCTTGCACCCGGCCCCCGGTGCCGTGCCCGGGACATGAGGGTCCGTCCACGTGAAGAACGGGATCTAGTCCCACTGCCAGAGAGCCCTCCCCAAAAGCTGGAGTCCAGGACCCGGGGGAGCTCCTGAAAGCATTTTTCTCTGCAACCCACGAGGGGTGCTCTGTGCAGCTGAGGACCAGGGTCTCAGCAGTCACCAGTCATCATCCCTGCCCCGTGCTCCCTGGACAGTGCTCCGCCACTGTCCATGGTGGGCCAGAGCCATAGTACAGCCTGTGAGTGGCTAGTGCCTTCCTGGGCTCCATATCCCAGCGCCCATAGGGGCCCCGAGCCTGCCCAGGGTGATCCCTGGGCGCAGTCAGCCCGTAGCACCGTAAGTGATGGCACCGAAACAACGGTAACCAGATGCTGCTGCTGACCGTCCTCCCTCCACCTGGGCCTCCCCTGATTCCCTCCAGGCGGCACCCAGGCACCGGCAGTGCCCACTCGCCCTTGGCGCCCCTGCTGCCCTGGTAGCACCTTCTCCACTCTCCCCTGAGAACAGGGGCGCTGTCATGGGTGAGGAAACTGAGGCCGGGGGTGAGTGGGTGGGTGGGTGGATGTGGAAGAGGCTGAGTCCGCCTCTCCTCCCTTCTGCTGTGTGGGTACCAACTCTCGAAGCCCATGATACTCAAGACGGGCACCCAGGACTGCAGAGACCAGCCTGGGGGGGCTTCCAGTAGGGGAGAGGAGGGTCAGGGAGGGGAGAGGGCTGCATTGCACTTATGTCCCGCAAGCTGGGCGGGCGCTGCTAGTTAATGGAGGGGTTTGGGGTGGGGGCGGGGGCTCCATCCGGTCATCTGAACTGGACACATAGGCTTCCTCTGGGCATCTCGACGGACCCTTGTCCTCTTCGAGACCCTACAGCCCCGGGAGGGCTCAAACGTTGTCCATGGTGATCAGGCTTGTCCCCCCCAAGTCCCCTCCTGGAGGCTGGCACACCGCCCGGTGGTCCCATCCATGCTGACCGTTGGTTTGCGGGGCAAACCCTTCTTCCATACAGCACTTAGCGACACCCCCCTGGTTCGAGGCGTTCTCAGTCTGCCAGCGCCCTGAGAAGTCGTTCCCAGCTGCTCCCGTTCGAAAGCAAAACGCATCCAAGTGAACCGAGGGCGCCAGGCTTCACGGAGGGGCTCGTGGGGGCGCGGGGGAGAACCAGCTCGCGAGCAGCGGGGAAGGTGCTGGCAGAGGTGCACAGAAAGTGAAGTTTCTGCCCTCGGAGAGTGGGCCGAGGTGATTAGCAAAAGAAAAGGTTGTTGCTGGTGTGCTGGCTCGCCCGGGAGCGGGGGTGGGGGTCTTATCATGCAGATTACCTGCCATTGTCGGCCCGAGAGGGCGTGGGGGGCGGGACCGGCTCCATTCCTGGGAGGGGACCGGCCGAGGGTCGGGTGATTTTTCAAGGCTGGGTGGCAGAGGAGGCATTGGCAGGAGTGACTCCATTTGGGGCCACTGCCCCTTTTCAGCAGGACTGATGAGGGCTCCCATTTTGCGGAAAAGAACATTGAGTCACAAGAAATGAATCAGCCGGGTCTCCAGCCCCTGGGCCGTGCTAGGTGGATGGAAATCCCAGCCCAGGCCTCGGGATCTTTTTGTTTTCTTTCTTTTTGGTTTTTGGGGGCTCTCCCTGGGGGGTGGGGGGACTCGGGGCTTATTCTTGGCTCTGTGCTCGAGGATGACTCCTTGAACCTTGACTCTTGATCCCTGGGCTCCAACCAGGGTCATGTGCCCGGCAAGTGCCTGGCCAGCCATAGTATCCCTCTGGCCCCCAGAGCCCACACTTTTAAATGGGGGTGTTCTGGGGGCTTTGTATGGTTGCCAGACAAGACCAAGCCCAGAGGAATGAGGGGGAAGACAGAGAGAGAGAGAGAGAGTGTGTGTGTGTTCCAGAGAGGGCCATCGTGGTAGCACAGTGGGTAGGGCCCTGGCCTTGCCCGTGGCTGATCGGGGTTCAATGCCTGGCACCCCATACGGTCCCTCTGAGCTCACCAGGAGTGAATGATCCCTGAGCTCAGAGCCAGGAGTAAGCCTGAGCACTGCTGGGTGTGGCCCCCAAAACAGAGAGTGAGAAGGGGGGGAGGGAGATACGGGAAGAGAGGGAGGGATGGAGGGAGGGAGATGCCCACCATGATGCCAACTCCAACTCCAAAGAGAGCAGCCTGGAGGTGGAGAGCTGGGATTTGGGGTATGAGGGTCAGCCCAGAGCCAGGTGGAGGCCAGGAGAGCCCCCCACTCCGCCTTCCTTCTCAGCTGCGGCCTGGACACTGCTCTGGGGCTTCCAAGCCACCTCCTCCCACAGACGGAGAGCAAGTCTGACTCCTGGGGGTATACCCAGACACACACACACACACACACACACACACACACACACACACACACACACATGCTCGCTCGGCCCCCGAGGCTAGGAACCTTGTAGACTACTTGTCTTCCACCTTAGGGATCTGGGGGTCTGGTGTTTCGGGGTGACCGGAGACCCCGCCTGCCCCCATCTGCCAGTCTGCGCCGCCTGGAGCTGAGGGTTGCAGCCAGCACCTACCACGGCCTGGACGCTGCGGGGTCCTCAGTGGGCTCATAGAGGCCGCTGCCCGGCCTGTTGCCAGGGCCTGAGTTTGAGGGGAGCTTGGGCGAAGTCCCCGCCCGAGCCAGCTGGGGTGCTGGCAGCGCCCGGCGAGTGGCCACCCAGGAACGGAGCGCTGGCCCAGAAAGGGAACTTCAAGGAAAGCCAGGCAGAGGGCAGAGGCTCCCCGAAGCCACATCCGAGTTGCGGGGTCCCTTGGGACGCGCCTTTTCCCGCTTTGAGAATGAAAATCGATGGCTGGGAGGAGGGGGGGCCCATGCGGGCCAGGGCAAGGGCGGGGGCGGGCTCTGGTCGGAGCAGCGAGCTGGCCCCGGGAGTGAGATCTCGCAGGGACGGCTCAAGGGTGCCTTTTCCAGCAGCTGGCAAAAACGGAATAAAGCCCGTCCAGGTCTGCCAAGCAGAGCCCTCGGCTCTTGCCAGGGAAGCTGTTGAGCTCATCGATTAGACAACAGCAGGGGCCGTTCGGATGCCAGCGGACAGGGCCAAACGCGTGGGGCCCTCCCGCCCGCAGAGGAGCCCAGGTGGGCCAGCCCTGCTCAGAGTGCCCGGCCGGCTCTCTGGAAGCCTCAATAGTCACTTCCTGGAGAGAGGACAGAGCTGTGGGTGGGCACCAGCCTGGCACCATCCCCTGCCCCCCTCCACGGCCCCGCGGCCATGGCAGGCATCGGGCAGAGCTCCTGCCCTCCTTCAGGGCCCTGTTGCCTGCCTCCTCCTCTCCCCTCCCCTCCCTGGTGCCAGCCTGCCAGGCCCAGTGCCCTCTGCCAGGGGCTGCGTGCCCTGGGGTGAATGGCGCACATGCTCTCGGCTGCAGTTTCCCTGTCTGTCATTACACCTGGGTCCATCACTACATCGAGACATTTGTGGGCCGAGTGGAAATGACTTGCGTGAGGCGCTGAGCTGGGGGTGCCCGGGCTCCTGGGCTGCTCCCTGAAACAGTGGCCACTGCATGTGAGTGAGGCCTTGGGCTGGGCCTCCTCCCGGACCTCTGTCCAAGGTGGGTCTCCGGTGGGGCATTGCACCTGCAGCCCTGCCCCGAGAGGTGCACAAGGCCCAGCTTCAGGGCCGGGCACGAGGGCTCCTCGGACCCTGTGCTCACCGCCAGCCATGAAGCCCCCCCACCTCTGCCCGCCCCCCCACCTTGCTTTCCTGCTCTGTGGCTGCAAGAAATAATCTGGCTCTTTAAGGTCCAGCATCGCCTCCAGCCTGGCTTCGCTGGAGGAAGAATGAAGACTTGGACAGACAGACAGATGGACGAGCCTCTTTTCCAGCCCCCAGACAGAAAGCAGGAGCACCAGAGGGCAGTGGCTGAGGGGTACACGGACCACACGCAGTGTTTG